CTACGTGTCTGGTAATCCCAGACTGATGCTCGACATGCGTGCGTATAACTTAACTACTACTTAATTAATGTGTGTTCTTGTAGGGTGAACTGCTACAACGTCGGCAGTCCTGCAAGGCCATTCGGTGGATTCAAGATGTCCGGAATCGGGCGTGAAGGGTACAACACATAATCAAAACACAGTTATTTTTTAGCTCGCCTTCACATCGTCAAGATGAGCTATTGCCATGGGGTGTCGTCCGTCGTACGTCCGTTCGTCAGTCCGTCAACATTTGGCTACGGTCAACGATAACTCAAGAACCGTTTGACCGGGAGAGGTTTGAACGTCCTATTTTGGAGCACGCCAGCTTACTTACTTTCGAGCCACATCCACTTTTTGGCAAAAATAGAAATGGGCATAAGTCAGTTCAGGTTCAATTGATTTTGCTCATTTCTAGTATATGTGAATAAATGAGGACTAGCCCCAAAACATATCACACAGGTTTTGATTTTTTAATTATGCAAATTAGGTAGATTTGGGCAATTTTACTATATGCATTTCAGTGTCTGCCTAAGGTCAACGATAACTCAAGAACCGTTTGACCCACATGTTTCAAATTGCATACAGTTGTTATACTCCTATGGGAGAGATTTGAACGTCCTATTTTGGAGCACGCCAGTCCACCTACTCTCGAGCCACGCCCACTTTTTGGCAAAAATGAAAATGGCCATCTAGATTTATTCGATTTTGTTAAATTTTGGTATATGAATGTGTAAGGCTAGCCCCAAAACAGTTGCTACTCCTATGGGAGAGATATGATAACGTGATATTACGTTTATTTCGTCTAACTGGTTATAACAACTCTACAATCATACTTATATACGTGTAATATTGTGTTTTAGATTCTTTGTTACAGTAATTTGACTGGAATATTTTATTATTTTTATTTGCGCGATATTCGAAAACCAAAATGGCGATCATTTAGGCGTAGCGCCATCTCTCGTCAAGATTTCAGACTTTCAGATCTGAAACATTTATTTTCGCATCAAAACTTATGCATATATCATTATCAAGAGTATATAATGGGAGATATGCTATATAATCAGGAGTAAGATAATATAGAATCTATATTATCTTACTCGATCCTGATATAATGGGAGTTCTCCCATATATACTCTTGCTTTATATATCTCCCCCCCCTCTTCTATCACACCTAAGGTGAGCTACAGTGTCATTGACACTTTCATTTAAATATCCTAAAGATCTATATCGTAGGGAATTCATTTCAGGTTTAATTGAAAATTCGGGATGATCAGTTGATGTAAATTAATGTAGTTCTCTGATGGGCCAATAGCATGTAAACGTGAAACTATGAAACGCTCGAGCATCCTTGTAAATTTCACGTGAACATTCATGCTCATAATCTCGTTCACTTTTCATTAAAGAGGCGAGGACGGAATTCATGAGTTCTGCGAGATCAAGACCGTAAGTAATATGCCGAGCTTGATGTTTTCAGGAGAAATGAAAGATAATGACGGAATTTTATCCTTATCATCTCAAAGAAACGCTCCATAGGCGACCCCTGGTGCGACAACGTCGAAAACGGTCCACAGGTAGGGGGCGCTGCGATAACGGGATATTGCAATCACAGGTGAAGCACCTGGGAGCGCTATGATCACAGTGATAATCATATAAATTTTATATGGTTCTACTCCATTTCATTCTTTTTTACCATTAACCCCAGAGAAAAGAAGAGAATTAAGAAATACTGGAAACAGAAAAAAAACTTAAATATACTGGGTCCTTAGAAGAGGAAACGTGGCATAAAAGCAGGGGCCAGTAGCTTATGATCGAGTGTGTGTGATACTGATGTTGTATGTAAGAACGTATGTTCCTCTCCTTTGTTTAGATCGACAGAGATCAGTTTGATAAGGTGCTGGAACTGATCGAGAGCGGCAAGAAGCAGGGAGCGAAGATGGAGTGTGGAGGTGGTCGCCACGGTACCAAGGGCTACTTCATCCAGAACACTGTCTTCTCCAACGTGACAGACGACATGAGGATTTCGAAAGAGGAGGTGTGTGAGCGGTGACGGGACGTGTGGGTCTACACACAGGTTTCACTGTATAACGGCTACAACTGTTATTAATTGAATGAGCTAGAACGCTCCAAAACGCCACATAATTTTGTTGTTCTATAATTTTGTTGTTTGTGCACAGCGGCGATCGTGCGGTGTACACGTGTGTTGCAGAGGAGCATTTGAACGGCAGTCACAGAAAGTTATTACTAATAATAGACAAAAGTAGAGCAACATTGAGACGTTGCTATCATACATTTCGTGTTTATTTACCATGATGTGCGGTGCGGGGAAGGTGGCCGGTGCGGACCAGGGGACCATTGTCAGGGTGACGATCACTCGGACGATTGGTCCCAGTCTTAATTTTTTCCGATATCATTGTCGAAAAAATCGCAAATTCATTGATACTACAGTATTATAATAGAGATTTCATTATTTTTCTCATTAACTTGTGTACTAGCTTTAGCCCTCGTTTATCCAACGGCTCGCTTGAGTGTCAACGGCTCTAACCTTTTTGTTCGTATCCGAAACCTGTTTGCCGAATTCAAATTCGCTTAAAATCCATCACGTAATTTACGACGCGCTCTATTCCAGGAATCACTTTACTAAGTTCGTGCTGTGTTTGTTATTCAGTTTCACAATTTTTTTATTGTCTATTACGTTGGCGCAGCGTTGCGATTCGCTTTCTAAATTAACGTGGCGCCACCTGGTGTTTGCAGATCTTCGGCCCCGTGCAGCAGATCATCAAGTTCAAGTCGATCGACGAGGTGATCAAACGAGCGAACAACACAATGTACGGGCTCGCTGGAGCGGTGTTCACGAAGGACATCGACAAGGCATTGACCCTCGCCCAGAGCGTGCAGAGTGGAACATTCTGGTAGGTTCCGTCATCGATAGATTCCTGTTGTTCTCACGCTGTGCTGCTATAGTTCATATTCTGCCATCATTGTTTAGACCACAATCTTCCAACTTGTGTTGCGGTTCGGAATTGAATCCTCGCACATGCGTTGTTCTTGTGCTGTGATGTTAGTAATATATATATATATATA